ACTACTTACAGATATTAAACCTGGACAGGCATTACACTTAAATAAAGCATTATACAGATTGAAACAAGCAGGTAGACAATAGTACAAGAAGATTACCAAACTACTGCTTAAGATCAGATTAGAATGAGCTAATTACAATCATACTGTATTTTACAAGAAACAAAATAATAAAACAATTCTTGTAACATTTATGTACATCAACAATATTACAATTATTAGCAAAACTGTTGCTATAATAACAGCATTTAAACATGCATTAAGACAATATGTTGCATTTACTGACAGTAACAAAATACATTAGCTACTTGGTATTGAAATAAGCTGAGATAGACCTCAACAAACAATTAGCTTACAGCAAAAGCATTATATTGAAAGTATAATCAAGTGTTACCACTTTGAAAACGAAAAGGCACTACAAACACCTATTACTCCTGGAATAGATCTATCCAACAATACAAACAATATGTATGATACAAACGAAAGTAATAATGAAACAATGCCATACATGAATATGGTAGGATTGTTAAGATATGTTGCAGATTGCACACAGCCAGACATATCTTATATTACTGGGCAATTAGCATGCTACTTACAAAAGCCCCAAACGCATCACTACAAAGTAGTGAAACATTGCTTTGCATATTTAAAATACACAACAAATTGTTGGCTTCAACTTGGAAGCACAAATGCCTTAAAACTACAAGGCTATTGTGATGCAGACAGACAAATGACAGAAGGACATAAAGTAATAAACAGCTACATCTTTCAATTAGCTAAATCAACCATATCTTAGTCAAGCAAACAGTAAAATCTGGTACCACTATCTGTTTACAAAGCAGAGTTGTAAGCACTGGTGTATGCTACTCAAGAAGCCATTTGGCTCAAACGATTTGCTGAAGAAGTACTGCAGACTGAATTAGCACCCATTATGATTTATTGCAATAATCAAGGTGCAATAAAGACTGTAAAGTCTGACAAAATAATGCACAATACTTGCACTAAACATCTTGATTTACAAAAAGACTTTGTACAATGTTACATTCAAAACAATTACATTAATGTATGCTATGTTCAATTGCAGAACCAATTAGCAGACATCCTTATGAAGGCTCTCCATGTTCCACAAATCAAGCATCTAAACAAACTATTAGGTATACAGTCTTAGTTCTTAATTAATGCTTGAAGGGGAGTATTAGATTGCACTCTGGATCAGGAAATCCCCTATTGCCTTTTCTAGAATTACTGCACTTGGAATGTCTCGGACTATCGGACTTCACTATGTAGTATATAAGGTAGATACTCGCTTGATGTCTCAATAAGAGAGAGTACGAGGGGCACTCCCGCTACGCTTGTTAAAAAGTTCAGATTTATTGGGGGACTTTTGAGCGCAGTACAGAGAGATTCATGAGAACATCGACATATACATCCAAACATATCCTAAGTCCGAGACTAATAATGTGATGGTTTTTTATTGATCCATATACGTTTCTTCGGAGTCGATTCTAAACCCTCAGCTCGGAGACGGGCTTTACACTGGTCTGGTGGATTACTATAATGACAGTGCGTTCCGTTGAGCTCTCGGCTATGTCATATTGAAGGGACTGATGGTGGATACGCACCTTGCTGCATGAGCACGAGTTCGAGCTGCAGTTGCAGCTGTTGGACGAGCAGTTCCTGAGGAAATAGGTGTATGAGGCGAAATTGCAGTGAGAGTATTGATGAAGGTCAGACTTACGCGCAAGAACAGTTGCACTGGCAGGCCATTGTTAGAGTGCTATCTCAGTACGAGTAGTTCAACGTGAAGTAGATGGGTCTCGGAGGTATAGGGAATGTATTCTGAAGGTACTAATGCCCCACTTTTTATACCACTCATTACGTGATCAGATAAGGGCCAATTACAGTACCTCTCGTTATCACAACTTCTCTTGTCCATATGCATAACCTTACCAAAGGTGGCCTAGGACTCTTGGCGTGATGGGAGAAGTCTGCCAACGGACTGAACCATGCGCGTATTAATACACTGACAATTGGGTGGGTTGTCCTTAGTATTCAGGGTAGCCAATAATGCGATGAAAGCGTGTCTGATTCCGAGTCCCTGGGTAGCCGCTCGTAACCTTTTTTACAATAGTTATAATTAAAAGAATTCAAAATCAAAGCCTGAGAGTATTTCAAAATTATCGGAACAGTGGCGTCGTTCTCGTTTAGTCGAACTTACAATTCATGCAGCGCTCATAAGCGGGGATTACTATGCAGGAGAAACAATGATAGTGAAGCGTTTGTCCGACGAGTTTTGAGCCCGAGTGACTCCTAATCCATCGGCCGGTTGCTCCGTCCCATCTGTCGGAATATAGGAGCCATCTGATATCCTCCTATCCCACTTCACATCGACGATTCGGATCTCATCGCCTGCAGAGGGCAGTTCCTGTTGTGGTGGTCTCTCAGCCCCACTCTCCGGCACCTCAACAGTCCTTCGCCGATCGGTGACTTTGATTTTCGGAAGTGGAACCGCAGGTCCGCATTCTAGGGGAATAAGCTGCCATATGATTTTCTCTTCTGCGCCAGGGATAAGTGTCGGAAGCTTTCCATTGCGGATGCCGGCGGCGACGAAACTTTCTGATGGCTCGAGCTCCAAAGAAAGTATGGGACATGCGGACCGAGTCGGATGGTGATTCCGAATAATTAGCTCAAGAAGGAAGGGCTGGTGCAGATGGACGAGTGGAGGAGCGTTTAGAAGAGCCACTAGTCCGTCTGAAGGTGGTTTCAAGGGAGGAAGGGACAGACGAGTTGACGCAGGTAGACCGGGTTTACCAATATTAGAAAGTCTGCAATAAAATATACTAAGTTTGCGGAGCTTGTGAGGGAGGGCGCGAGTCAAACCTTCTCCAAATAAAAGAATATTCTCCTATCTTGTCTAGAGTCGTCTCTGGATCGGCGAAGATGTCGTCAGGAGGGGCGATACTTAGCTCGCATGTGACGGAGTACTGGTCGCCTGGCAGCAACTCTAATGGACAGTAATGATTTAAAGTCGAGCGCTAAATATATTACGAAGATCTTACCCGAGGGGAAATCCTGATCATCCAAAGAACAGTGAATAAGCTTGGAGTGCGAGTTCTCCTCTGTCCGAAGCTTCATGCTGTCGATCAGTACACAACTGGCTCCAATACACTCCACACATTCAAAGATAGTCGTAACTGTGGCACGTCCACCGAGGCTGTCATCCCAATGGTCCGGATCAAACGCCGAAAGACTGGCGGGTCCTGGGCCCGCAGAAGTACGGCGAGCATAAGTCGTTTGATGAGCAACGACGAATGGTGCAACAGTGGGCACAACAATTGTCTGAAGGACTTCACTCGTTTCCATGCGAGGCTCTGGTGCACCTGGATCGACATTTGATAGCGGAGAAATTGTTTGTGATTGGACGGAAACATCAATCATGCGTTCACCAGCTACACCTGAGCTCATAAGGTGGAGTGTCTTGCAGGCCGTCGTACCGGGGTGCAGTTTCCCAAATGATATACCTTTGATAAGACCAGACGACTGCTCTTCCTCAGCGGCGATATGGTTGACTGGAAATGGAAAGTTAGACTTCATGAGCTTTGTAGTGGCAGCCAGAATTACCAGAATCATCATCTCCTGGCTGTAACAAGACATCTAAAGAGAATTCTAACTCTTTGTCATCGTTGTTGGTCACATCGATACTTATAGGATATGGTTCGTCTAAGTATGCTGGATCGCGGTGAGAGATGGCGACGTCTACCCTGTGAGGGCGATGCTTAACACTAAACACCATTCAGTTTATCTTGCACGCAGAGTAATTGATAGAATAGTGGACAGACATGACAGAAGAGACATTTGCTCGTCGAATTGCAACGTATTGCGGGGGCTGTGATACTCTTGAACTCAACCATTTCGGGCTAACAAGCGGTACGTCTCTCCGGCGAGTTACGCTAAAGGGCACTTCAATGTTCCATTTCCCTTCAGAAATGAATGCTGTGACCCTCGTAAACTTGGAGAGAGGAAAATTTAGTGTTAGTATTTTCGCAACGTCATCAGAATTGAGAAGCACCTTTAGCTCTTGCGGAATCTCCGACGAAAACGTTCCGACTATGAAAATTGTTGACCCACTTCGCCATGTTAGGTTTGCATCGGCTTCCTTTCCTTCTACATTTGGAAGCGCTAAGTGTCCGATGTCGACTCGCGTTATCTTCTCTTCACCTCGTTTGTCTTGGCTGGCATCCACATCGCTCTCCGAGGCGAGGTGTCGCAAAGTGATCGACGTGCGGCCATCTGATAAGAATATCTTAACTGCGTCAATTGGTACCTCCGAGAGGATAACATTTTGTGGAACACTGAGGTTTATTTGAAAGGCAACCCGTTCATCGAGCTTGATCTCTGGTGCCCAGAAAATCACAGAACAATCGACTGGGAACCGCGTGTTAATTAGATAGGCACAAGAAAAAATACATGCAAAACAGGGAGCATACACAGCGGTTCGTTATCAGTCAGGTCAACCACGAGGGCCTCATCTGGTGAAGGCACCGTGCTCTGATAAACGTCAGGTGTAAGTAATCACATTCGCATGTTCAAACGATGTCCTGGTGGATGCTCACTTTCAGGACTGCATGTAAATCCTCCGCAGGAGTCCCCTCGTCATCTTCTGTGTCTATTCGGGGAGCTGCACCAAATGTCGGTGTGATTAATTGGACATTCGGTATGGCGAAAATACGTACAAGCGCCTCTAGCAACCATTTCGATTAACAGACGAATGCTCATCTCGACGTCCCCGAGCTGTTGAGCGCACGCATACCATGTCGCTAGTAGAGGTTGCAGTAAAGCACCCCATTTCTCGCGGCTGTACGTACGTGCTATGCGTTCGAAAAACCTTCGGAGTTAGAAGTAAATCTGTCAAGCCATGCCTAGGGAATCCCAGTGGAAGTATATCCTCACCTGACGGACATGTCGTATTTACCCGACTCGTAGTACGTTTGCGCAATGCGGTAGGCAATGGACAGCGTGAATCGGCCACTCATTTGATTCTGCAAGGTTGTTAGTAGTGCACTGTACTTTTTGAAGAGCTCGTAGGCTTTCGTGTACAACTAAGTTACCGCAGGGGAAAAAATCAACGAACAATCCGAATATAAACTCAAAAGACGGTTGATACCTCGAGGATACTTCCTAGATGGTCAACTTTCTTCTCGTTCTGGAATCCTGGTGCCTGTGAGACACTACCCTGCGCTAACTATCGGTAGTAAGATATCAGCGTTTATCTTATAGATGCGTACAAAATACCAACCTCTCCCTCAAGGGCTTGCAGGAAACGTAAACGCCTTCTCTCGGTACATTCTGCAGCAAAATAATAGTAAAATCCGGGATGCATGAGCGCGGTGTTTGGATTGAGTCCAAGGGCGCGTAATGCTTCCAGCTCTAGCTGGGGCTGGGCTGTCGTCGTGGACGCATTGGTAGTAGCCGATGGGACGTGGGTAGGAACAGTAAGACCAAATTGAGTTCCCTGTTCGAGCAGTTCTGCGAAAATACGGTATCTAGGTTATCTGTGAGCAAAGGATGCCTTGACGAGTGGAATGGCGTACTGTCGGGCAACCCAGCTCCAGAATTCGTACGTGTCTTCATCGATACCCCACACACGAGCCGAGAGATCGCAAAATCGTCTCATGTGTGAGTTCAGTTGAGAAAGTGCAAGCGCGTGCTCTGCATTATACAGGAAGAGTTTACAGATCTGTACAGAAGACATGAGTAGGATTAGCGAGGATGCAGGTACAGACATACCTTGATGTTCATCGAATCAGCGAGTACTTTCGCTTCTGCCCATCGTTTTGTTCTGGGCAGGAGGATTGATGGAGATGTAAACATTCCTTCAAGAGTCGAATACGAATCCTGGTAGTGCCTTCCATGATACACAAATAACGGCCGTTTGAGTGTAAGCGGTTAGCCATCCATACACAAGGCAACACATACTTCAATGCAACTTCTTCTTCCCCGCGGAACTCTGCAAAGCAAGCCATTTTGTATTCATAACGAACAGTCCAACCCTCTGGTCGAAGAGGAAGAGCGCGAGCGGCCGGTGCAAGGCCATGCGCGGGAACGGAGGCTTGCGCATGTCTATTTCGCTTTCGCCGAACACGTTTTGCATGTGAGGTATAATATTCAATAGCAGGATCGAAGAGTGCTTGTTGAATACTGTCAAACAAGTCAGTTAAAAGAACTTCGTTGAGATTACGAACTATTTTCACCTCTTGACAAAGTCGGCTAGCTCTGAAGGAGACACAGGGCTAAGAACGAAGAGGGCTGCACGTGAGTCGAGACCACTAGTCCGACGAATGAAAGTCAGTCGTCCGTCAAGTGTCGGATCATCAAGCATGCGACGGCTGGCAAGTAGAACGACCGTCAACTTCATGCCACGTTCGTTAGTGGTCTTTTTCCGATCAGCAATTTCTCGAGCGAGTTCAGTGTCACGTTGACGATCTTCCTTCTCCCTTTCTTCTTTATCCTTTACGACATCTGGACCGTCCGGCTCGAGCGGCGAACGAGGTACAGTGACTGGAGTTGGATTCTCGAAGAGGCGGAGGAACAAGACGAAGACGGATGGCACAAGCGATGTATGCTTACGGATCCATATGGGTGCTATGAGACCATCTGGGTGAAGTGGAGATGATGGGTGAAGCGGAGATAACGGAGAATGTGGGGGCAGAGAGGATGTCGGGTCTGGTATCTTTCGAGGAGGGAATTGTACTGTCTTTGGTACGATCAGCGGCTCACACTTGCTTTCATCAAATTAATTGGACGCGCCTTATCAACGAAGACAACTTGGAATGTCTTGCCCTTTCTCACTTGTTCTGGCACCCATATTGCAGGTTTCCGTTGAACACTGAGCACATCTTGTAGCCGGTTTATTAACGCAGCGAACTGGTCGGAGAAATTGGCGCTTTTCGGCATTGGAGTCGCCGGAGTCGCCGGAGTGGTGGGTGCTTCATCGCTGCTGGAGGTACTCGATACTTGTTGCTTCAAGCTATCCAAGCCCGACACAAACATGACGGGCGCAAGTTGCACCAGTAACTCGGCTGGATAAGAGTTCATCTTGTTGATGACTCGTTTTCCACGCTGGAAGATGGCTAATCCTTTGACATGTGCTCTTTCCTGGTTCCAGTCGATTCAGGTGCGCTACAGTCACGTTAAGTTATGCAAGATGATAGCCTGATGCAAGTTTGGATGCAACTTCGTGAAGGCATGGCGGATATTGGGCGATTGTGATCACATGACTGCTACGCGTCAACGAGTCGGTTTAAATAATCAACAAACTTGCTTGGAGTCGAATTGCAAATTATAAATTATAACATCTACGGCCACGCAGTAGGGTTCTGCACCATTGTGTATACATATACAAACTTTAATGTAAGGGTACCAAGACCCAAAAAATACAGGTGTAATTTATATGTATGTGTGTACACATGAAGTGTCCCAACATACATTGAACTGGCAGTGAATATACAGAAGCCCTGAAATTATTAATAAGATGTATTTAAGCGTTTCATTTAATGAATATAGTGTATATATGCACAGTAGACATATTATAGAGTATTCACTAAATTAAATATACTATTTTGTAGAAAACTTATATACTATACACTGTATATGATACATAATTTCCATATTGTATACTCCTTCCAATTATATACATACATGCATATTTTATACACTCAATATATGTGTGTATGTGTATATGTATACATGTGAAACTCTACTACAGGGGTACCAGAAGTTACTGAGTCATGTGGGGATAAAGTTGGTAATTCTGATTGAGAATTTCTCAATTCATTTTATCCAAACATGACTCAGTAACTTTTGGTCCCCCCCTGTATACAGTGTATACTCTTTATACTCAAGTAAATTTACATTAACATTAACAGTAATATATAAATAATATAATAACTATCATGACATTTCTTATAGAAT